TATTTATATCTAAATGGTGACATCTACACCAGTATGTGTGTTCCAACATCCGATTCTCTATTCAAACAACCACGCACTCTGGTCTCAGCGGGGCAGAGACATGGCTACACCAGTATGTGCTTTCTGAGAAAAGTGTCCTTCTAGATTCTGAGCAAAACAACTGTCAATTGAGTCCCGATACTTCATTTTTCAAAAGCTTCCAGGCAACCTTGCCATTTGCTATAGGTCGTGGATTACTCATATATACAGCAAGTATCACTAACCACTGCCAACCCCATCTCGGGCAGTTCTGGCTTTCAGTTCCAGAGGTCTGAAAGAGCAAATAAAAGAGAATTCAGCTTTCTTCTCATTAAAGAATTACTCTTGGACATCCTGAGCTTATTTGAATTCTGAACATTTTAACCCCATCTGTAATTCAAGTGTGGACGCTGTTGTTTGGTTTGGTGATAAACACGATTCGCCCAAGCAGAAAATACAGCCCCCCACTGCTGCAAAAGGAGAGTCAGGGTCCCTCCTGCATAGCAACCTTCAGATATAAACCCCTAAAACAACATCCTTTCTTTGAACTTCAAAGCGCAGGCATAACAATTCTAGCACATAGCAGGACATCTTAAAAATACAACACAGCATCAAATCAGAAATGTCTGTATGATTAATGAATCCACAATGTACTGCTGAGATTCCACCTGAAGGTAAGGCTCACTCCATGAACTGCAGTGATCCAAACCTATCACTCTCGGGCACCATTTACCCTTATGGAGCAACGGAGAAGACTACTGGTGCTGCATCTTTTAAAAGCACTTCATACAGGAAAACCCCATCTACAAAAAAATCTCCCATGCACCTCTACCCCCGTTTTAAATAAGCCTTGATATGGAGATAACCAAAAGGAGTCCAGGTGAAAATTAATAGTGCCAAATCTATTATCAATGCCAAAAAGTAAGCTTTTGGCCTTCACTGTCAAGTGTGGAAGTGATGTTTACTGCTGATGCCCACAGATCAACAAAGACTTTCTGTCAATGCAGCACAGAAATAGGGAAACAAACTAGGAAACTGAAACCTAAGTAAAGACACAGAAGTTACAAACTAAATGTACAGAACTATACTATTTACTCACTAATTTCTTGCATTCCCATAAAGTGATATTGTACTTTGCAATTCAAATCAATTTCCCTTAAAAAACATCTTGCTTTCTTCTGCTTTTAAATTACTGTTATAAACTAATTTAAAAGCTAATTTAATCTAACAAAATTCTGTTCATAAAGAGTATGAGTAACTAACCAATTTTGACAACACACACAACTTCTTCATAGTAACTCAGATAATGTTTAAAATAGGTCCCTTTTATATTCCAGTATACTGAAGAAACAGCAAATCCTGCAATTATGTCAAGATACCACCATCTTGAAGCGCAATCCACAGAAAGCTCTTTATTTTAAAGATTGCATATTTCTGGACAGGCTGGTTGGCAGTCCGATTGATTGATTAAATGCTGAAAAGCACAAAGAAGTGTGTAACAGTAGGGTGGCTATTTTTGGTATGATAAATATCCCATTCTGGCTTTTAACTTCAATCTCTTTGCACACACTTGCATTAGATTAGTTACTTAAAGGTTTGTTGACAACTGCAGTGAGGCAATGCAGAGTTTTTTGTTTTTTTTTAACTTAACTGGAGAATTCCTGGTTCACAATGTCCCAAGCCTGCAGCACTGGGGCTCTAGGGCCTATCTGTGTGGAGTCCACAAGTTCTCCCCCAATCAGGCGGGTTTTCTCTGGATGCCCCAGTTTCGACCCGCAGTCCATAGACATACAGACAGGTTGACTGTAAGAAAAACTGGGCCTGGTGTGAGTGTGTCGGCCCTACGAGAGACTGGCGTCCTGTCCAGGGTGTGTCCTGCCTTGCGCCTGTTGTTTGTCCCCCCGCGACCCTGAATTGGATGAAGCAGTGAGAAAATGGACAGAGGGAAATTTTCAAAAGATCGGTACCTTTCAACAATATGATCCCGTAGATGTTTAGTCAGCTCCTTGCAGACCATGGCTATCCCAGTAGGATGCAACTGAGAAAGTTTCAAGGAAATCCTACGGGAACAGCTGATTTTTATGTGGGGTTAATCAGAATCACTTTCTTTGATGGCAGGTGCATGCTACTTACTTTTGGACATGACTTTGAATGTGATTGGTTAACTCTGAACACAGCTACAGCCCCCATTGCAAAAGGGTGTGCACACTTATGCAACCAGTGTGTTGCAATGTCAATTATTTTTCCTAATAATTATCTATTTGATTTTCTTTTGAATTTTGTTGGTTGCAAGGTCACATTAAAGATGGAAAAATGTCTGACATGATTTATCTTGATTTCTGGCTTTACATCACAAAAACCTGCGATTTCAATAAGGGTGTGTCGACTTTTTATATCCACAGTGGCTAACCTAGCAGCCATCCTGTGTTACATTGCTTAGGCTATATGTTAATAAAAACTAGCTGGCGGAATTTTGTCATGTTTTCCTCGCAGATTGTTAGATGCAGATTTTTCATCGATTCCTTGTTAATGAGGTGGCACATTATAACTCACAAGGACTGTAGAAGTGAGGTGCTGGAGGAATATTGTCGAGGTTTTCTGTAATTCTGCAAAGGAAAGACTAAGGAGAGGAGCCCCTTCTGCTGACTGCTTCTGATCCCACCACCACTAACACCATACAAGCAGTTTCATACCCTAACACACCTTTTATCACCATGAACCAGCACCCAAGCCCTAAACCAACAATATCTGAAATAACACACCGAGATGGACCAGTTCCCACTGCTAGAGGTTCGTTGATGGCAGGTCTGTAGTCCCTCTTTGGCCCTGCCAGCCACATTCCTCATCATGGACTAATTCAGGCACTAGGCATCAGGAGGACATGCATGTGTCTGGTCTGAGAAGTGGTTAATAGTCAATGGTCAACCCAGTGGACTCTTCCATTATCAAGTATGAAACACGACGGAAAAGACACACTTTAAAACTATGTGGAGGCGCTTCAAAACTGAGAACAGGGTCCACTTCTGTTGGGCAAAGGGTGGAAGGAGCCTGGAACCAGCTATCCTGCCATGATGTTGAAGCTGAAACGCTGGCTCCTTTCAAGAAACAGCTGGGTGAGACTCTTGGATCAATTAACTACTAACTACCAAACGGGCTCGATGAGCCGAATGGCCCACTCCGTCTGTAAGCCTGTATCACCGCGGTTTCATGAAAATACCAAACAGCAGACCTTCCTCAGCAAGCAATTTACAATCCTCAAAGTCATCGACAAAACCAGGCCAAGTGACACAAGGACAGCACCTCGCATGTTCTAGTTGAGAGTCGGGGCATAGGGTACTGAAAACAGGAGGCACTTATTCGCATGATGAGACATCAGAAACAAACCACCCATTCTTGAAATCTTCAAGTTAACTCTCCGGGATCCTTCAAGAAACAGCCAACCAACTAAGCAAGTAAGATGTGACAAGGGACTTCTCCCTCCAAAGTTTCCCTAAGATCCACGTGTTCCGTGAACTAATGTGCTCAAATGAAAACGTCTATGTTTAATATAATTAATCTTTATGTCAGACTTTCATTAATACCATGCTAATCTGATTTTACCTTCTCACATACTGTATAGAAAATGTGGTTTTCTATTGCAGTTAAAGTTCTTCTCTGAAGTGTAAGAGGACCAGGTGAAGGGTCATTTATAACTGGTATTTCCGGAATGAAACACTTAATATACTCGATATAGACCTGGGCAAGATGGCCGCCAAGGAGAACCAGCTGACCCGCTGTTGGAAAAGGCCTATGCAGCGAAACAATGAGACACAGGTGAGCTACATCAGGAAACAGAATATAAATGCCCCAGAGGCGGTGAGCCAGTGCGGAAAACGATAAGGTGAATGCGTTTTGGAGGAAGAAGAGGATTAGGATTGTGGTTGAAAGGATTAAGGAACAACGGACTATGGTTTATGGATTACGACTTGGTTACGGTACGGATTTGTGTGGACATGCAAACTTTGAAATTTGGATTGTTTAAGGTAACTGGAGACGGGTTACGGACCGGAATTGAAAAATGTACGGACAAAGAAACGGAGAAGATCAGTGTGGTGTGAGTAACATCCCTTTTACACCTGCTTTTCCCCCGGTGACACCACAGAAGGCATACTAAGATCTTTCAACCACAAGGATGTGTTTACGATGTATGACATATACATATACCTACTGGCACTCAAATGAGCACATTTACTCTGGATTAAAGTTAGCTTCAGTTAAGCTTAGTGCAAAACAGAGTTTACTGGCCCATGTTCTATACAAACTACACAGAGAAGGAAACAAACAGATGTTCAGCGTGAAAACAACCGTGAGCATGCCGGACAGGGTACCAAGGCACATAAATGCTGCAGTTTTAAAGGAGAGATATAAAGATTTAACAAGTCCTGAAAACTGGAACTGTCCTCATTTGCAACATTATGTATTTAAAATGCATAACTACAACAATACAAGTAGGGATATACTTTTCTAACCCTTAGCCCCTACTTGCTAGCTAAATAATACTGGCATAGAGCAGTAACTACACAGCTGGTTCCCCAATTAAGGGAAATGATTACAAAAAGCAACCACAGACCATACGTGATGACATAAAAATGTTTGAGGACTTTGTCGGAATTTGTGTATTGAAGACATTGTGTTTCGTACAGTTCGCTGCCATATCTCAGAAAAAGTATGCATTTATGTGCATTTATGTGAGTGAGTTTAACACATACATTACAAAAATCTAATTATAAAGCTATTAAAATTAGGAAACAGAAAGATCAAAATCATGATCAAAGTTTCTCAGGCAATCTATTTTAGGTTTTTATTCAGTGAGATTCTACTTTTTAATTAAGTGAAAAAAAAACCTTAAAACTCAGAATGTTAAAACAAATAGAAAGTGTTGTTTAGTACAGAAGATAAATGCTTAATGCTTAAATAAAAAAAAAACAAAACAAATAAGTTACCTCTCCAAGAGCCTCATATCGCTTTTGGTTCCATCTGTGCAGGTCCTCTCGATAATTGAAAACAAACGGCTCTCCAGTTTTGATGTGCCTTAACTGCCCCTCTAAACAAAAAAAAACCAAAACAACAAATATTTAAAACTCCAATACATTATATAAAAAAAAGAGCACAGTCCCACACAGAAAAACAAAACGGGACAGCACTCAAATCTGACTGTGGCTCCACAAAGCAGCTGGTGGGACGGCCATGTAGGGCTCGCACAGCTGTGTTCCATCACTGGCAAACTCCCACAGAAGCGCTGCGATCTCAGACACCAGAAAACTAAGACAACAACGGTGAGGAGATCAAAATAAAAGTTTATTGCTTGCTTCTTGCTTCAAAGCATCTTATAGCCAATAAATCTATATTTCATGACAAAATCAGTCTTCGCACTTTTAAAAGGAAGCAGAGAGAAGTCTGTCTGAAACAGGGCCATGGTCTGTTACCCTGCCTTCAGAACAGCTCTGCATCTTTCAAAGGTGGAAATATAACACCAGCAAGACATCGTACCTTAACGTGACCAAAGGCAACGTGTCTTCTCTTCTCTTTAGCTACTCTAAAGCCAATCTAGATGCCCAGACATGGACCACTGACTTCTATTAAACGAGATAGTGAAAAATCATACCAGATAAGTGTGCAGATTTTGTCTATAATCAAATTTGTTTTTTTAAAACAGCTGCAACTCATCCTGAAACTATTTCTGATCACTGAGCTCAGTGCAGCATTTCTGCTGTCAGTCTTCTCTGCATGTTGGAATTCATAACTAACATCAATAAACGCTGTTTAGGTTTGACCTTGAACCCAATTGCAAGTCATGAAGACCTTTTTTCTGCATCCTCGATTTCAAGCAATTAAAACATTTTTTGGCCTGAATAACAGCTACAAGCTACAAAGCACTTCAAACCATTTCCAATCACAACTTAAGTTTCCTTCTGGGCAGCTGCCAACCATGGCTCAGACAACTGCCTTGGCCTGCAAATTCTGCAAATTTCTACTAGATCCACTTGAGATCTAGTTCAGCACTGGGATGCCAATGAAAAGGACAACAGTGTTTTTTCTGCAGTTCTGAATCATCTTGGCAGGTTGTGGAGGTACGGTTTCAGAGAGCACTGATCAGCTATATTCTGGCAATATCACAAAATGTCGTCCTTTTCTACTCTACACTGTGCAGGACAAAGAAAAGCACGACCGCAATACTGGTAAATTATGCCTGAGATTATCTGAAATAAGGATAGGAAGGTTTTGTGATCCTGTATCTCACCTGATAGCTATGACTTGAGGCAGCACATAGTTTCAACATAAACTCTCTGAACTTGCGTAGGGTTCTATACTCGCTAGAATGCCAAGCACCAACTTCATTAACGCAACCACAATCTTTATTCCCACAGGCTAATCTCCTATCAGTGCCAAATATTTTATAACCAACATTTGCATTCCAAAATGCAACAACTGGCTTGGACTGTGTATGTGTGTGCTTTTGTCACTATCTCACCCAGGTCAGGCACAGGAAGAAAACACAGGTGAATGGAGGGATTCAGAATCAATACCACTCAAACTTAAAGAGAAAAAACATACAGTGGCTATCAAAAGTATTCACCCCCCCGGGCTTTTTCACATTTTACTGTTACAATATAGAATCACAATGCATTTGGGATCTTTTGATCAACACAAAACACCTTATAATGTCAAAGTGAAAACAAAATCTGAAAACGGATCCTCCTGAATTATTTATAGATATAAAACAAAAAATAAGCAGTTCAGGTAGGTAGCTGCGTCAGCAGGCGTAGTCTGCAAAGAAACAAGTCATAGGTTTATTCCATGCTGAAAAGAGAAGAGAGAAAACACAATGTTTTGGATGTGGAGCCTTCTTCAGGTGTGAGAAAGACAGGACAGACAGCAAAGATGAGACAACACAGGAGAACAAAAGCCAGGAGAGAGGAGGAGGCAGGAACAGGGGAGAGGCAGAGTGACCAATCAAGTGGTGCGAGGTCAAGAGAGGTGAGGAGAGGTGTGAAGTCAAAACATACAAATGAATAGAGAGAATAAGAAAACAAGTCTGTCATTGAGACAGAAGGGCGAAGGTGTGAACCACATTTCAGGATAACTTTAGTTTCTGAAGTCTTTCTGCTTGAAGAGTTAAGAAACCCTTTTGGGGGGGAGGGGTTTCAGGGTGATCATGGCCGTCAGAGGTGAAATGAGAAACTATGGGCTTGGAGGAATCTTTCATTCTCACAGCCCTAACATGTTCTCTGAAGCGGTCTCCAAGCACTAGTCAGTGAGGCCATCAAGAGGCCCGTGACACTTCTAAAGGAGTTACAGTCTTCCATGGCTGTAGATGGGAGAAACCAGTCAAAGGACTATGACTGGTCAGAAACAAAAAACCTATACGCAGAAAGAAAGCAGCTCATAAAATGATGTATAATGTCAACTGCTTTATACCATACGGTGTCACAGGAAGCCAGGGCCTATGCGGCTAACAAGGAGCACAAGGCAGGGTACACCCTGGACAGGACACCAGTCCATCGCAGGGCCAGCGCAAGCCAATCACACATGGGGACTATTTAGAGGCTGGACACCGGCCTCTTACTTCTTAGTTAGTCTTAGTTATCCCGGACACTGGGATACAGTATATCCCTACTCTTCTCGAGAAATGCCCGGAGTTCCTCAGAGGCCAGTGAACCTGCCAGAATACTTTTGAACTGTGAAAAGACACCGAAGAACCTGGAGGAAACCTGTGCAAACACAGGAACAAACTCCACAAGCCAAATTGCACCCCTGGTCCAAAACCTGACCCAGGAAGCAGTAGGTATCTCATGTAAGTAGAATATAAATAAGTATTTTTGGATTCACAACTGGTTAATCTGTAGAACACAAAGAGCACAATTATAAGAGGGGCTCAAATTAGGGTGACGTTATTACCGGAGTACCACAGGGTTCTGTATTGGGACCACTGCTCTTCTTAATTGCCAAAACAGAAACAGCAGAGCCCATTGAGCCTTTAAAAAAGAAGAAAAGGTCCACGCGACCTTCACTCAGCTGATTCTTGCTGCTGTACGTCCTCTCAGCTCATCTCCACTCTGTGGCTGACAGGGCCATTTGTCGCTGTGCCTCTATGCTCTGGGACACCATCCCAAAAGAAACTAGAGACAAGATATTTTAAGTCCAATAATTCACATGATACCCTGGAAATGTATCTTGTACACAAAGAACTTTTGTGAGTTTTTTATATTCTGCTTTGTTTTTACCCATCTTTATTGTGTAATGTGCTTTTTAAATACTGTAAAATGCATTGAGGTGACTTTATAAACTAAAGTTTATTACAATAATACTTGATTTATTACTTACAGTAGCGACATTTTTAATAAAAGCAATTAAAAAAAGTAATTTTTGATTCCAAATCCTTTTGTTTCAATGAAAAATCCATTGCACGTTAGGCAGGAATGATACACTGTTCAAGCGGTACAGATCATTAATGGAGATCTTCCAATGGCAATAACGTACTCTGCTGTGATTTTTACCTTTGACCTCACCCAATTCACGTTCTGCTCTGGTAGGGATTCGAAAATGAATCACTTTTGAAGAGCTGTATCTTGTGATCGGGGATGTCTGCTCATTTTTTAAACTGGAGCCATCTCTCCGAAAGGCAAAGCATGCATGGAAATTTCTAACAAAATCAAAGAAGGTCAAAGCGATGGATTGCACTCGGCGTGACCTCACTTTTTCGTAAAACAGAAGTATGTGCATTATGTGTTGTTTTATTATTAGAACAAAGGCCTTTAGAAGTCAAATAAAAAAAAAAACTGCACCAGCAAAACGTAAGAATGCAATTGGGATTCTTCTGCCCCAGGCAAAGAATTTCCCAAGGCCCCCTTCAGCACCCAAGGTTAAACTATCTGCTGCATGCAGGCAGCACTCCAAGGTTAGACACACAAGAGATCTTGCTCAGCTCCAACCTGGAGAGAACATGCAGGCCGAAATGGAGGTGAAATTCGTCTGAAACAGTTTACAGACCAGACATGAAGGCATTCTATTTCTCAAGGTAAAGTTACCTGGCATCTCTGTGCTGTAATCTAGCCCCACTTTAGCTAACCGCTCTGTTTCCAACACCTTTTCATTCCCATCGCGGCAAGACAACTTACCTGTGTGTTCAGATGAGCTGTTGTATGTTAATGTGATCTGTGCTGTGCTTATTTCATTGTGACACTAAACAAGCACAAATGTGCAACAGCAAGCTGAGCTTAAAAAGTTTTAAATTGACTCAGCCTGAAGGGTTGGTACATTCTGAATTATTCTGCAACAGCAAAAAACCAAAACAGACTGAAGATGAAAGATTTTTAAACACTTTAAAATGTATCACTTATCCCTGGTAACCAAGCAATAAGTTACCATTTGCTTGCTAAATAAAAATTACACTATTTGCTTTTATCATTAGCAGTTCAACAAAATATAATGTTAAAAGCTTGTTTTGAGTCAGTTTCATTCCTTAGAGATACAGAAAAAATTGGCTTGAAAATGGCAAGTGAACTGAACTACCTAGAAGAAATAAATTATGCATTCATAGAGGGGAAAACCGAAATCTTTTCAACAGCAATGCCTAAGAGAAGAAAGCTGAAATTATGATAAAACTGAAAATGCACTGAAAGTTCAGCTCCACCGCCTTTACCACACAGCCTCTCTGAGGAATTTGCTTCCCGAACTTTTTTTTCTTTTCACAATAATTAGCGTGCTGTTCTAATTTTTTAGCTTAATTAGGTGTACATAACCTTGGATTTCCAGTAATGAAAAAGCTGAGGGCTATTGTGATGAAGCCGTCAGCTTTCTGATTAAAATAAGATGTCTCCATGAAATATGTTTTTTCATTTAAAGAACTTGCTATTTAAATACCGCAGCTCTTATCTCTTGTTCCTCTTCCAGTCACAAGCAGACGTCTGCTCTACGCTACTGTGAAAAGCACTACGGTCTTAACATTTAAAACTGCAGATACAGCAGCAACTAGTGCGTTTAAAAGGTGCAGAACAGCATTTTCTAATACTGAATCTGAACCTCCATTTCTGAATCTGCGCG